AAAGAATAACTCTCATTTTGGAAGCTTAAATGAAAAGAGTTGAATCGGAGTTTGACTTTGGAACAAACGACTCCAGAATAGAATTTTGATAACTCCAATAGCTTCATATGGTAAATTTGGACTTAGGAGCATGTTCGGATTTGGATTTGGAAGTCCGTAGGACAATTTGACGCATTTTGGCGAAAGTTAGAAATTTGAAGGTTTGTGAGAAGTTTGACCAAGAGTTGACTTTTTGATATCGGGGTCGGATTCTGATTCAGGAAGTTGGAGTAGGTCCATAATATTGAATGTGACTTATGTGCAAAATTTGAAGTCATTCCGAAATGATTTTGGTAAGGTTTGAGATACTTAGTCTCTTTTAAGGAAGCTTAAGTTGGAAAAGTCAACCGGATGTTGACTTATGTGTTAGAGGGCTCGGATGTGAGTTACGATGGTTCATTTAACTCCGGGAGGTGATTTATGACTTAGGAGCATGATTGGAAGGAGTTTTGGAGGTTCGTAGTAGATTTAGGCTTGAATTGGCGAAGTTGATATTTTGGCGTTTTCCGGTTGATAGATGAGATTTTGATATAGGGGTCGGAATGGAATTCCGAGAGTTGCAGTAGTTCCTTTGTGTCATTTGGGATGTGTGTGCAAAATTTCATGTCATTCGGACGTGGTTTGATTGGGTTTTTGATCAAAAGTGATTTAGAAGATTTTGAAATTCTTATGCTTGAATCCGATGCGAATTTGGTGTTGTGATGTTGTTTTGAGCGTTCCGAAGGTTGGAACAAGTTTCAATGATGTTATGGTATATGTTGGCATGTTTGGTTGAGGTCCCAGTGGCCTCGGGTGTGTTTCGGTGTGGTTTCGGATGATTTCAGGTTGTTTTGCAATAGCTGAAGCTGGTATCTGGTGTTGTTCTTCGCGTCCGCGAGAGTCCTCTCGCGTTCGTGAAGAAGGATTTGGCTTTTGGGATTTTGTTCTTCGCATTCGCAAAGAGAGCCTCGCGTTCGCGAAGAAGAAGAAATTCTGTTGCGCAGGTCTTACTTCGGAGGCTCATATCTCTCAATCTACAATGAATTTTGAGATGATTCAAAAACAAACGTTGTAGCTATTTGAATCTAGTTTCCAGAAACATATTATAATAGTTATTTAGACATATGTAGCAAAAGTTATGGATATTTTACTAGAGGCTGTCCGAGAAGAGTTTGGAAAATAATGTTTTGAAATTTTGTTCTTCGCGAACGCGAAGAACAAATCCCTGGGCAGCAGAATAAAGTCCAAACTTGTCTTACTCTTCCATTTTCAGACCAAGGGAGCTCGGGTGAGGCGATTTTTCGATAGATTTTCAAGGAAAACATCGAGGTAAGTGTTCTTAACTCAATTTTGGTTAGATTACTCGAATCCATTGTTGTTTTTAACATTTAATTGATTATTTTAGTTGGTAAAATCTTGAAAACCCTCTTAGTTTAATTTGAAGATTTGAGGGTCGAGTTGATGTCGTATTTTGGTAAAATTGGTATGGTTAGACTCGTGGTTGAATGGTTGTCGGATTTTGTGAGTTTCGTCGGATTCCGAGACGTGGGCCCCACGGGCAAATTTTGGGTTAATTTCGGATTATGTTGGAAAATTAGTATTTTCATATGGAATTAATTCCTATAATTAGTATTGACTGAATTTAATTAACTGTGGCTAGATTCAGATCGATTGGAGGCCGATTCGAGGGGAAAAGGCATTTCGGAGTAGGATTTTGCTCGGATTGAGGTGAGTAATGATTGTAAATGATGCTTTGACGGTTTGAAACCCCGGATTGCACATCGTAGTGCTATATTGAGGTGAGTCACACGACTGATGACGAGCGTGGGGTCGTGTACTATTGGGGAGTATGACTTGGTCCATCCCGATTGATGATTTTACCGCGTATTTGACTGAAACTTATTTGTTATCATTATGATTTGGGCTGATTGCCATATTTGGGTTTCGTACCAACAATTTGAACCCTTTGGGTATTTTTATTACTATTTCCTCATTGCTTTGACTTATTAATTGAACTCAGTCATGCTATTTTCCATTGTTTTACCACTCAGCCATTTTTACTCCGTTTTGAGACTTAAATGATATTTTAAATGATGCTTTGGGCTGAGAAATACTGTTTTACTAATGCCCGAGGGCTTGTGAGTATTTTTGACTTAGTAAGGCCGATGACCTAGTTGTGAGAAAACACTAATATTGATTGAGGCCGAGGGCCTGAGATATGTACGCCACGAGGTGGCTTGTTGATATTTTTTATGAGGCCGAGGGCCTGAGACACATATATACGCCACGCGGTGGCTTGATTGATATGAGGTCGAGGCCTAAATTTGATGCCACGAGATGGCTTGATATGGCACTTGGGCCGTAAGGGGCCCCTCCCGGAGTCTGTACACCCCCAGTGAGCGCGGGTACCCATTGTGTTCTGATATTGAGCCCAAGGGGCTGTTACTGTTATGATATTGAGCCCGAGGGGCGGTTACTGTTCGGATATTGAGCCCGAGGGGCTGGCACTATTATGATATTGAGCCCGAGGGCTGGTACTGTTCTGAGATATTGCCCGAGGGGAGACTTTGTTGATACCTATGCCCGAGAGGCAAATTTCCATTTGTTACTCACTTGTAAACTACTTGTTTTACTTGTTGGAAAAAGGGATTTTTACTTAACTTTTCACTGTTTTACTATTTAAAGTGATTTTACTGCTTCAGTATGGAATGCCTTGTGTTTTTACGTGATTTCTTATCTTCAGTCATTATTTATATTTATTACTCACGGGGTCGGAGTACTCACATTACTCCCTGCACCATGTATGCAGATTCAGGAGTTGCTGGTTTCGCTCTTGAGTGCTGATTCCTCCAGTTTCAGGTGGCTTTCAGGGATTACGAGGTAGTTGTTGACGTCCGCAGCCCCGTGTCTCTATTATCTCGTCTTTTATATTCCTTACGGACATGGTACTAGTTACTGGATTTAGCAGACTTGTATTATGACTCATAGATGCTCTTGACTTGTGACACCCCGATTAGGGCTGTGTCGGGCTAGATTTCCGCATTTTTATCTATATTTTCCACTATTTAGTATTATTAAACCATGTTTAGACTATGTTTGTGTTAATTAACTGCTTTAAAAGATGAATTGGGTTAGACTGGCTGGCCTTGTCTTCACGAGAGGCGTCATCACAACCAGGTTCGGGGTTAGGGTCGTGACAATACATTTCCCAGTTTCTTGGCATTTGCATAAGTGAGAAAAGTTGACCATGATATTTGAATGTTTAATTTTTTACGCTATCAGATCAACAAATATTTTCACAAGAGAGAAAGTCCAATTTTCTTTGATGAAAGTAAAGGATGACTGTGATGACACTCTAGATGAAGTTATGAGAGGGAAAACTGCACCTTGGACTATTCATCGGTTTTGCTACTTTGAGAATATTTTATTTAGTTTTTTCTCTTTGAGAATATCAAGATTCTTGTTTGGCGGTCATGTAATGGCGCTCCATTTGATGAAATGAAACAATTTTTATCACCTCTTAGAGTTTGGTGATACCATTTTATTATTTAGTTAGATGGTATTATTCACTTAGAAAGTAAGCAAAATGTAGAAGAGGAGACCAAGTAAGTCTAAAATCTATGGGCAAAAACACTAGGTAATTTGTTTTATTCACAATTTAAATTTGGTTTAATTTGTCCAACCTGATGGACAGAGTTATTCAGTATCTGTGTTGATAAGAGGTAACAAGTAACCTGTAGAATTAGTCGAGGTGTACGAGCTGACCCCATGCCACTGTTATAATATTTTCCCTCGGTTTAGGGCCTGTGTTTAGTAGTGTAAGCGTAGAGGTGAATCCAGGTTTTATAATTTTATAGATTCAACTTTTAAGGTTTTTATAATTGAACGCATTGTATTTTTAAAGGTATGCATTCATATGTATCTACTATTTATTGTAATTATAGTAAATTCGCCCAAATTTTATATTACGCGTCGAAATTACTAGATTTACATAAACTTGGTACCAAAAAACTACATCCGCCCTATAATTAAGTGAATAAAAAAAGAGTCATTGATATGTGAAGAAAACGACACCCGAGTTTTTAATTGAAATGGAGGATGAGGGTGACACTCTTAATGAAATTTATCAGACGGATTGATGGACCAAGAAAGAGATTTTTTCCTATAGATACTGTAATAAATATATTACCTAGTTAAGCAATAATTTACAATTTACGAAAAGTACAAATTATATATAATTGTGCGAAGATAGATCCTATTGGCTAACTGTTAACTTATTTAAATATGTAATTAGTGCGAATCATTAATACCTTTTGCTTCAAAAAAATATGACACAATTCACATACAGATTTGGACGAAATCCTCACCCAAAATATCCCATGTTTCTAATGCTGCCATAGACGTACTTAATTTAGCATTCAATGTTCACAATTTCTCCACAATTTGTTAGACTACAACACAAATTGTATTTCAAATGAGAATTCACAATTAGTTAGCTTTAAATCACACGGATTCTGATACAAATGGAAAATCAATTGCTATCGCACACTGAAATATCTTTATTTTTGTACTTCCATGACGACAATATATGTCAATCATGCTTCTACTCAATGATCGATGGAATAGTAGCGGTCGATATACTGATTTCAATGTCGATGGTAATGTAATCAACTCATATTCGAGCTATGATGCATTAGTTTTAGCCATTGTAGAGCATCTATTAATACATTAAGAAGGCAATTCTCCCCCAAATAAGAAGCTATAAGAAGGCAAATGAGAGGTGTGCATAAATCCTAAACATTAGATCTCCTTTTATAGGGAGCAATTCTCCCCCAAATACAAGTCTTCCTCCGATGTGGGATGAAGACATATTCAACAGATGAAATATAGAGAGATGAAATTGCAACCTTTTTTCATAATGGTCGTTGTCAATTTGCACCATATTCGATTATTTCATTGGATATCTGTTACTTCCTATCAACATTGGTTACGCATAATTGTGCCCATCAAAACTTAGGCAGATAAAGAAAAAGATGAAATTGCAACTTTTTCCATAATGGTGGTTTTCAAGGCCTGTTTGGTGGGGAGGTGAGGCTCTTGAAAACTTGGCTACATAAAATTTGAATGAGACGGATCAATGATTGGATCTACTGGCGCAATTTTATGATCTGCAGTCTAGGATGAAAGACCAGACCAGCCTTGATATTTTGAATGGTAGCAACATTAGTCTTGAATGGCTTCACAAGAATCTGATCATCGATACCAGTAGCAAACAGAGTCGTTGGAAGTGAAAACGATTTCTGCATTCACGCTACCAAATGCAGAAACAGCTGTAGCTGATTTATTCCAATCAGTATTGTACTGATAATGCACACAAACTTTTAGAGTCTAAGTATAGAGCTTGTTACTACTATCTAACAATCCAACTTCTAGACTGCCCTGCACTACTAATAATAGCTCGGATGCACGAGGGTAAGTGTGGGGCAGGTTGACACCATCGCCAGGGAACTGAAGGGCAGCAAGTGAAGTACACTGTCCATTCAAAGCTGGAAAGTCCAGCTTTGCTAGCTTTTGTCGACTTAAAGCTTGTAATAACACTGCCAAAAATTCCGCGCATGCCTGTGAAGGTGAAGAAATTCCCACTTATTGTATCTCCAGTTTGATTTTCAGGAACAATGAAGTCCGTCAAGATATCAGGATCGCCTGCTTGAGCTATCCAAGAACTACTAACGATAGCCAAAACGAAAAAGAGGACATATTTTCTGAAGTTTAAAAAAAAAAAGCCAGAAGATGACATTATCATATAAAAATCAAATGATGAAAAAGAGCATGGTACCTTGTGTTGGTTTATGAGGACTTTGTTGCATTCATATATTTGTATGAGATGTGAGGTTAATTAGATGAAGGCGGCAGAAATAACAGAAGGATTTATGTTGAGAATTTCGTCGAGAAGGAATCTGAAATTGTGTAAAAGTTATATTCTCCCAAGGAACAACAAGATGGTTGTTTACATCAAGCAATAAGTGTAAGACATGCATTTTACACTTTAATTTATTGATTCCTAATATTAATTATTGGCCAAATACATAAAAAGCCACTCAAACTTGGCTTCAGCTAGCAAGTGAGTACTTAAACAGACACTTCAACTTGTATAAAGTATCGATTGTTGCGACAACTTGTATAAATCTCCTGGAAGATGACAATTTAGTATCGATTTAACTATTAGAGATACAAAAAAGTGACAAGATCCATTCAGTATTACCTACCGAATGCAGTGTAGTTAGAAACTCAAAGATCCAAATACTGAAAAAATTCTCAATATTTGCTATCAAATGTAGTTTTACACATCAACTTGAAAGGACACATTCTCTGGCAAGCAAAAAGCAAAATTCGTCTAGTCATAAGATTTTCATTAAAGCCCACGCTTTATTTGCGCTTAAAGCTCCAACAGGCCTTAGAGCTTTTTTTGTGCTTTTCGCCTTTTCGCCACTTTGAGCAAAAACGTTTTTCATTTGTTTACTAAATTCTTCTGTTGTTTTGATCTAGCAAATTTTGTATTGATGCCGAAATCCTAATAACAATAGAGAAGTTTACAAAAGTTCTTCGGATGATAATATTCTAATCATTAAGCTAAATGTCAGCATGCCTAAGATCTCGTTTTCCCCCCTTTTCTTTTACATTAATATCATCTACTTAGAGGTGTTAAATCCCGAGGACAGAGCTTATATTCGTATAGCTTGGCGTGAATAAGAGATCTAATGTATTCCATGACCAAGTCTAAAATCGAAGGCAAACTCGAAACACAAAAAGGAAAAAGAAAATTGAAAAATCAGCATAGCATAAATGCTCAAACCAGATTTTTTTTCTTTCTCAAACTGAGAAACAGACCATTAATGTGATAAACAGACCTAACAATTGCAACATATTACCTCTTTTATATCTAATAAATATCATATATGCTTCACACAGATTTAACGAAGGGAAAGAATTAACAAACAAGCAAAAAGAAGTAACAACAAATAAAGAGCTACTGGAGGAGAAAAAAAAAAGAGTAACTTACATTTATCAGAGTGCCACTCGTTATAGTCATTACAGATATTCCTCGTCGACTTTTATGGTGGGAATTTGAGCAATTTTTGGCCAGTAATCCCCCTTCCCAAATTCTAGACTTGGTTTGAGCAATGGGCAGTTGCGAATCCATAGCGTAGAGATGGAAGAGCGCATCCCTTTTACTGGAAGAGATTGGAGTTTAGGGCAATGAAAGATTTCCAGCTTAGAGAGGGAGGAGGGCAGCGCTGATTGAATACTTAGTTAATAGAGAGAGCGCAAACTTCAGCTAAAAACTGAAAGAACATCCCATGAGGAAATGACTTTGTATCGTTGCAAATCATTCTCAAAATAGAGCCGAGAAAGAAATCAATTGAACATTGTACTCTTATCAAATTCCTACAAAACAGAAGAAAATAGGAAAGTTGTTCTTACTTAGCTGTAAAACTGTATTGGAAAAAAACTGAGTTTAAATATTGAAGATGATGTGTCATGACACGTGGACTGGTCAAAAGGCAAAAACGCAATAAATAGCCAAGAGGCACGGGTGACAACAGATAGGGGAAAAAGAAAGCAACATAGGTGTGGACCGTTACTAAAATAGGTACGAGTCTCGTACCTATTCGAGTCGTTTAAAGATAAAAAATCAGAAGAAGTTGAAGATACGAATCTGATGACGTAAAAGAGTCTAAATACAGCATTAAATGTCAAATACGTTAGAGAATCTGAATTAAATAGAAATGATTATGTAACGTTTCTTTTAAATATCATTTATTGCTCGTAATTGTCTCATTAAGACAAAGACATTATATCTTCTCCTAGAATCAACTATAAAAGGGGAAAGACTCAACATCTATAAGGACACGAAATACTATTGAGATCTTATTGAAATACAAAACTATTTACTGCTTTATCATCGTTCTCAAAAATATTTTATTTCCGTCTCCTGATTATCAGTAACCCGAATTTCTTTGTAGCTTTGACCAAAGACTCAGATTTTTGGTTAAACAAATTGGTTTCGTTACCGAGAATCTGATAATCTTTTCTTTTAAGCTACATCTTGTCCATTGTTATCACTATGTCAAACAACAACACCAACGATAACAATGAAAACACTTTGGGAATCCCTGAAAATCAAATCCATCAAAATCAAGGAGATTTACATAACATTGAAGTGGTTCCCTCCCCTCAAAATTCACCACGTCAATCTCGTGAAGGCACTCCTGAATCCTGTGCTGATCAACAAGAACAATCTGAACACTTTGAAGGAGGTACAAATGAAGCTTTACAAAAGCTAATTGATGCACAGGTCGGCAGAGCTCTTCAGGCTCTAGTTAGTCGATTGCCTGCTGCACCACCCACACCAACTCCTAATAATAATACATTGGAGAATCCCCGTTCTGGTCTTGTTAATTCTGGAAATGGAGGAACCACCAGTGAACCACAGGGAGGGGGACCAGGTAATTCAAATAATTCTTATTTGCAAAATTTAATACTAACCTTGCAGAAACATATTAAGGAACAAAATGAGCGTATTGAGCAAATCCCTGGAGTCCCGCCTGTAATAAAGGGAGTTGAGTGCTGCTCCCCTTCCAATTCCGAAAAAGTTCAAAATGACTGACATCCCAAAATATGATGGTACTACAGACCCACGTGACCACGTGACTGCATTTACAACAGGCGTGAAAGGCAACGACTTGACCAAACAAAAAATTGAATCAGTTGGTCAAGAAATTTGGAGAAACACTCACCAAGAGTGCATTAACCTGGTATTCTTTTTTATCTGAAAATTCTATAAATTCTTTTGCTGAGCTTGCAGATTATTTTATTAAAGCACATTCGGGAGCACAAAAGATTGAGAAAAGAATGGAAGATATTTTCAAAATCAAACAAGGGGATTCAGAGTTGCTCAGAGACTTTGTTGATAGATTCCAGCGTGAAAGAATGACTCTACCCCGTGTGCCTGACAACTGGGCTGCAATAACTTTTGCAAGTAATTTAAATGACAAAAGTTCTGAAGCCACGAGAAGACTCAAAGAAAGCCTTCGAGAATTCCCTGCAACCACGTGGAATGATGTTTACAACAGGTACAGTACGAAGCTGCGAATTGAAGAAGATACCGTACCTAAGTTTCATCATGAAGAAAGGGGTGGTTCCAGAAGATCAGAAACCGAAAAAAGATCAGGTAAAAACAGGTACGATCCATATATGGGACCTGCAGGAAAAGACCCACGGTCAAAACAAGATAGCCAGCAATATGATCAAAAATCGAGGAACAGGGACTTTGGTTCTTCATCGAAATTCAGGAATGATCATAACAGACAAGAGTCACGAGATGATGACAGAAGTTTAAAGGCACGGTTCGGCGGATATAACTTTAATGTTACTACCTCCGAGCTCGTGGATGTTTTGAGAAGCATGGGAGATAAGGTACGGTGGCCAAAAGAGATGCGGTCAAATCCAAATAGATGCAATCCAGATCATTGATGCGAATTCCACAATGATCACGGACATAAAACTTCAGAATGTAGATTCTTGCAGAGTGAAGTGGATCATCTATTGAAGCAAGGATACCTCACTGAATTATTTAGTGAAAAAGGTAAACAAGCCTATATGAAAAATAGGCAGGAGCCACCAAAGCCCCCTTCGCCCAAGAGAACCGTGAATGTTATCAGTGGAGGAGAAGATATTCATGGTGTAACATATATGCCTTCCAATAAGGTTTCCAAATTAACAATAACACACGGGAAACGGGTACGACACATTTTAGAAAATGAAAGTATTTCATTCGATGATGCAGATACCGAAGGAGTAATAACCCCACATAATGACGCACTGNCAGGTTTTAGAAAATGAAAGTATTTCATTCGATGATGCAGATACCGAAGGAGTGATAACTCCACATAATGACGCACTGGTAATATCTTTACTTGTACATGATACTAATGTAAAACGAGTTTTGATTGATCCAGGGAGTTCCGTAAATATTATACTACTAAGGGTATTACGTGAAATGCAAGCTGAAGACAAAATGATACCCAAGGTGCATACCTTGTCAGGCTTCGACAATTCAAGTGTGGTAACAAAAGGAGAGGTAATTCTAACAACCTTTGCTGCAGGTGTTGTTAAAGAAACTAAATTTCAGGTAGTAGATATGGAAATGGCTTACAATATGATCATGGGGAGACCATGGATACGTGATATGGATGATGTCCCATCAACTCTACATCAGGTTATTAAATTCCCATCACCATGGGGAATTTTCCAAATTCGTGGAGATCAGCAGACAGTCAGGAGTATCAACACTGTAACAGGTACGAGCACCATAAATAAAGAAAAATAGCAATTACAGGAAACAATTGAAGGAATCAAGGATCAAACCTCAGCTGAACAAGAAAAGACAGATTTCGACTCAAGACCTGATACAATTCAAGAACCTGAGGAGAATGAAAATATCAAAACAACCATCGAAGAACTCGAGGCTGTGATATTATTTGAGCAATGGCCTGAACGGAAAGTTTATGTTGGAGCTAATTTAAACTCAAACATGCGAGGTATGTTAATTGAATTTCTAAAATCTAACGTGGACTATTTCGCTTGGTCCCATGCTGACATGATAGGGATACCTCCGGATGTGATGACTCACAAATTAAACGAAGATCCATCCTTTACACCAATAAAGCAAAAGAAAAGAAAGCAAGGGGCTTTCAAAAGCCAGGTGATTGAAGATGAGGTCCAAAAGCTATTAAAAATTGGGTCAATCTGCGAGGTAAAGTACCCTAATTGGTTAGCCAACACAGTTGTTGTACCTAAGAAAAATGGTAAGTGGCGAGTCTGTGTAGATTATACAGATCTTAATAAAGCTTGTCCAAAAGATTCTTTTCCTTTACCACATATAGATCAGTTAATTGATGCAACTGCAGGTCATGGACTTCTAAGTTTTTTAGATACATATTCAGGGTATAACCAAATTAAAATGGACCCTAGTGATGAAGAAAAGACTTCTTTCATTACAGACAGGGGGACTTACTATTATAAAGTAATGCCCTTTGGTCTCAAAAATGCTGGGGCAACCTATCAAAAGTTGGTCATCAAAATGTTCCAAGAATATTTAGGAAAGACAATGGAGGTATATATAGATGATATGCTCATCAAAACCCAACAGTCTCTTGATCATATTTCTCATCTATCTGTTACATTTAAAATTTTGCAAAAAATTAATATGAAACTCAACCCAGAAAAATGTGCATTTGGAGTTGCATCAGGTAAGTTTTTGGGTTTTCTTGTTTCTAACCGTGGTATTGAGGTAAATCCTTCTCAGATCAAAGCAATAGAAGAAATCCCTGATATCCTTACTAATAAAAAGGAAGTTCAAAGATTAACGGGAAGAATTGCAGCTTTGGGGAGATTTATTTCCAAATCCTCAGAAAAGTGTTTTAAGTTTTTCTCTGCACTCAAAAAGCAAGATCATTTTGAATGGAATGAAGATTATCAACAAGCCCTTAGCAATTTGAAAGCTTATTTGTCAAAACCGCTGTTATTGGCAAAACCAAAGGTGGGAGAAAAGCTTCTCATCTATCTGGCTGTATCTGAAGTTGCGGTAAGTGCTGTTTTAGTCCGTGAGGACCAAGGTAAACAATCTCCTATTTATTATGTAAGTAAGTCCTTATTAGATGCTGAGACACGATACCCACAACTAGAAAAGTTAGCATTAGCTTTGATCATGGCATCTAGAAAATTAAGACCTTATTTTCAATGTCATCCCATTATTGTAGTTACTGCTTTTCCGCTTCGAAATATTTTGCATAAACACGAACTGTCAGGAAGATTAGCAAAATGGGCTATAGAACTAAGTGAATACGAAATCATTTATCAACCCAGGACCGCTATAAAATCTCAAGTATTGGCTGATTTCGTGGCTGATTTTAGTCAGGGGATGCATTTAGAAACAGAAAAAGAATTACAAGTTTTTAATGGTACAAACCCGGGAACTTGGGTTTTATTCACTGGTGGTTCATCTAATATAAAAGGAGCAGGTCTGGGTATAGTTCTCATACCACCTACGGGTGAAACTATTAGGCAAGCTATAAAATGTCATTCTATAACTAACAATGAAGTAGAGTACGAAGCTGTAATCGCAGGTTTGGAATTGGCAAGAGAACTCTGCATAACACTAATTATAATCAAGAGCGATTCTCAACTCGTGGTCAATCAAGTGCTGGGGACTTATACAGCCAGGGAAACTCGAATGCAAGAATATCTCGAAAAGGTACGGGAACTAGTTAAACAATTCCAAACTTGGAAGGTAATGCAGATCCCAAGAGATGAAAATGTGGAGGCAGATGTTTTAGCTAATCTCGCATATGCAACTGACGTAGTAAATGA